GACATTCCCTGTTCTAAGGCCCCTCCCAGCCCTGACATTCCCTGTTCTAAGGCCCCTCCCAGCTCTGACATTCCATGGCTTGTGGTTGTACAGTCTCCTTAGCATTCCCATGACGTCTCGCCTGCCTTTGCTACCTTGGCAGGTAGGTTCAACATGGATCAGCCGGCAGGGCTGCAGGTGGACTACAGCTTCCGGGGGGTGGAGCACGTGGTGCGCTTGGCTGTCAATGGGGAGGTTCTGGAGCTCGAGGTGGAGGACAGAATGACCACTGACCAGTGGCGTGGCGAGTTTGATGCTGCCTGTGAGTGTCCAGTGGCGGTGGGGAGGGTGGCGATCACCCAGGAGGAGGTCTCCCTTCCACTTCCTTTTTCCCTTCAGTTGAACCCAGGGCAGGACATGGGGGCACTGAAAGGAGCCTTTGATTGAATTCTGGGAACCTGGACTCAAGCCTCATTTCTTTTCTAGACCCACTATGTAACCTTGAGCAAGTTTTCCTTTCTGTGGCCTCAGTGGGCCCCAATGCCCCTTTCCACTTTGGTGTTCTGCGTTCTAAAGCCTGTCCCAATTCTGACGTATCGTGTGTCGCCAAAGGTCCTTCCCACAGTGGATGTGTTCTGGGCCCCTTCTGTCTGTGGAACTCTGGCGTTCAGGGCTCTCTGGGGTGCTCCCTCATAGACTGGAGATTTCCCCTCTCCCTTGTAGTCATCGAAAATCTGACTCACAAGACTGGGAACTTCAAACAGTTCAGCATCTTCTGCAGCATGCTGGAGTCAGCCCTGATGCAGGTGAGGGGCCTGGCCTGGGCCCTGCTGGACACCACCCAGCTCTCCCTGCCTAGTGTGTTGTGGGGGAGCGGGTAGGGCAGGGTGAAGCCCGCGTCTGTGATGTACCCCGTGGGCTCTTCCCTCCCTTGCAGAGCAGTGAGTCCGTCACCCTGGACCTGCTGACCTACACGGACCTGGAAGCCCTTCGGAACCACAAGGTGGGGCCCCGGCCCGGCCTCTCGGCGCCCCGCTCCGCCCAGCTCAACTCTAAGCGTTACCTGATCCTGATCTACTCAGTTGAGTTTGACAGGTGGGGGACCAGCCAGATCCCCTTCTCTGGCCCAGTTCCAAGTACCTGTGGTCCTGAGGGGATCCTTGAGCTGGGGGACTTGTGGCTCTGCCCGAGGGTCTTAGAGACTAAATAGATAGGATGCTGGCTTGGGACCTCAGCACATCATTCACCTTTTCTGTGCCTCAGTTTCCTCCCTTGTAAAATGAGGACATTGCACTTGGTGACCTCCAAAGTCTTTTCCACCTCCAGATCTCTAACCCTGTGGTGCCCCTTGTCTGTTGACAAATACTCGCACGTCCTACCTCAGAGTTAGGGGAAGATAATTGCTGTGAAGCTCGTGGCAAACCTTAAGGTGCCATAGGAATGTCAGCTTTCGTTCTTGGGATTTCTCAGGGCTGGGCTTCGGAGGCTACCTGGGCCAGGCTGGGGGTGGGGGGGGCGGGGATTAGTGGCCACTAGTCCTGGAGGGGGTGGTCTCAGGAACCCCCCGGATCTGAGATGGGCCTCTTTGTCATCCTTTAGGATCCACTACCCACTGCCCCTCCCGTACCAGGGCAAGCCCGACCCCGTGGTTCTTCAGGGCATCATTCGGTCCCTGAAGGAGGAGCTGGCCGAGCTTCGATCCCGCGATGGGCGGGATGCTGAGATCCGCCACCTTCGGGAGCAGTGAGTTTCTTTGTTCGCTGGGACTGAGGCCCAGTTAATGTAGTCTGGAGGGCCCCTGGGGGGGACTCTGGGTGGTGTGTGGGGGCAGGAGGTGATGAAGGCATGGGAGGCAAGATCCCCTGCACGCCTGGCCATGCAGTCTTCCAGGGCCCTGAGACCTGGCCTGGGCTGGGTGGGGTGAATACAGGGGTGGACCTCAGCCTGTCCTGGCCTTCTCCTCACAGGCTGAGCCGGGCAGTAAATGAGAAGAGGGAGCTGGAGGTAGCCCTGGGCCGGGCACGAGAAGAGGCAGGCAGCCGGGCCACGACTCACCAGGAGGTGGCTGTGCTCAAGGCCATGGTGGCCAGTCTGGAAGAAGAACTAAGGAGGGAGCGGGGGCAGCACCATCGGACTGCTGGACGGCGGGGCCAGGAGTGCC